AATGTCACTCACCACAAAAAAGAGCCAGGAAGGGCCGGACCCACCACATCTTGCCCATTTCTGGGGGAAAAAACGCCAAAAAAGGTAAAAATCCACATTTTGTGGGGGGAAAAAAGGCCAAAAAAGAGAAAAATTCACCTTTTTTTGAGGGCTGGCTTACCCTCACAATGCCGTTCTCGGCCCTGGTGGCCTCCACGGTGACGTCATAGACGTGGACGGTCACAGTGTCCACGTGGGAGACTCCCAGGTGGCCCCTGGCTTCATTTTTGGCCTCTACACTGAAGAAGGGGATGGTGGGATCCTGGTGGCAGGTCTTGGTCAAGGTGTAAGTGCAGGTGCCCATGAGATGCAAGGTTTTCCCATCAAAGGTCCGGTAGTGAGAGTCACCGGTGGCCCAGCAGGTCAAGGGGGCTTCGTGGATGCAGGTGGGTTGGCCGTCCACCACCTGGCACTTCTCCTGGCAAGAGAGATCTTCACAGGAGAGCGGAGGAGGAGGAGAAGCTGCAGAAAATGGGGAGAAACAACCACCCTCAATCCACGGATGGGCAACCAAAGGTGAGACCAGCCATGGAGAAGACATGGATGGGCAAGGAAAGGTGAAACCAGCGATGGAGGAGACATGGATGGGCAACCAAAGGTGAGACCAGCCATGGAGAAGACATGGATGGGCAAGGAAAGGGGAGACAAGCCATGGAGACGACATGGATGGGCAAGGAAAGGGGAGACAAGCCATGGAGACGACATGGATGGGCAAGGAAAGGGGAGACAAGCCATGGAGACGACATGGATGGGCAAGGAAAGGGGAGACAAGCCATGGAGACGACATGGATGGGCAAGGAAAGGGGAGACAAGCCATGGAGACGACATGGATGGGCAAGGAAAGGGGAGACAAGCCATGGAGACGACATGGATGGGCAAGGAAAGGGGAGACAAGCCATGGAGACGACATGGATGGGCAAGGAAAGGGGAGACAAGCCATGGAGACGACATGGATGGGCAAGGAAAGGGGAGACAAGCCATGGAGACGACATGGATGGGCAAGGAAAGGGGAGACAAGCCATGGAGACGACATGGATGGGCAAGGAAAGGGGAGACAAGCCATGGAGACGACATGGATGGGCAAGGAAAGGGGAGACAAGCCATGGAGACGACATGGATGGGCAACCAAAGGTGAGACCAGTCATGGGTTGACCCTACTTACTGGTGGCACAAAGGCCGGTGAAGCCGTAGCCGAGGTAGGAATTGAACCCTAAGTTGAGGAGCCCAAAGGGTGACCTCTGGTTGTCCACCCTCTGGATCTCCTCTGGATTTCTCATGTTGACGCTGGCCCAGGAGAAGTCCGTGCCGGGGATGTCTTGCCAGGAAAAGGTCTTCTCCGGATTTTGGTTGAAGGTGGTGGAGGTGGCCTCCTCTTGACGGGCCACCAGGAGGAGGTGGTTGAAGTAACCTGGCAGGCCCACCACCCGGTAGGAGGTGCAGTAGGTGGAGACCGGTGGGATGTTGAGAAGAAAAGGGTCTCTTTTCAAGGAGTCGGCGGCCCCGGTGAAGAAGAAGACAACCTGAATTGGGGCCGAAGAGGTGACGTAAAGAGGTGAAATGGGGCCAACCTCGATCTTCCGGACCTCCCCGGCTTTCATGGACTTGGTGGCCACCACCTCCCCCTTCTGGTAGGTGACGGTGGTTTTTTCGGCGGCCACCACGTAGACGACGTCCGTCACCCTCTGCCAAGGGTTGGGGGGCACCAGGTAGGTCCTACCCCAGGAGGCCACGGGGAGAAGTTGTTCCACCACGTGGTCGCAACCCACGCGGACCTTGACGCAGGTGTGACCGCTGAAGACGGCCACCGGTCTGTCCGCCTTGACCTCGCTACCGGATAAATCGGAACTGCTTTGAAGTTGGAAGGTGTCGTAGGGCTCCAAGGTGACCTTGATGGTGGACCCGGAGGAGTAGGTCTTCCCCCTGTAGTAGAACTTGCCCTTGGCCTTGATGGTGGCGGTGGTGACGGTGTCACCGGCCGCCACGGCCAACTCCTTCAGCCCTTCCTTCTTGTTGTCCTCGGGGGTCACCACGTAGTAGTGGTGGCCCAACATCTCCAGGGGTAGAAGGGTGGTGGCCCCCGAGGTGTAGGACTTGGAGTTGAAGGCCACCACCGAGATGTCCTGGGTGGCCCGGATGAGGACAACCTTCTTCGAGAGGCGGCTGCCCACCAGCTCCAGGGTGGGGGGGAGGCGGAGGGTGAAGGTGTCACCGTGGTCACCACCGAGGTCATCACCGTGGTCATCACCGTGGTCATCGTGGTCACCACCACCAGCGTTGTCCCCCCTCCCCAGGAGGAGGGTGCGGGTGAGGGGACCCCCCCGGCCCGAGGGGGTGAAGGTCACGGTCACCTCGGTGGGGGGGGCGTGG